CACACCAACCGTGCGACGTTCTCTCTGGAATACAGGCATTTACACGGTGGAGTTACACAGTGAAGTTCCACGAGGGTAGACGGGAGAGAGGGGCGGTTACATGGCTGGACCGTCCGGTGGCGTCGGAGGCTACGAAGCTGAGTTGCGGGATGATGCGGTAGGTGAGGAGCGTGTCGTTGGAGGCGAGTGCGTGAAGTCTGCAAGGCGGGAGAATGAGTGAGTCGTGAGGCACTTTAAAGTCGCCGGCGGCACTGAGGCCGGGTACAGGTGGGGCGGGGTAGAAGGCGTCGTCCGTCAAATCGGTTGGGTCAAGTGCGTCTGCTTGGAGAATAGAAGCGATTCCGTGTTGGCCGGGTATAGAGAGGTCTTCGCGAGCGCAGCAGAGACGGATACCGCTCTTGGACTGCGGTTGGCTGCCTACGTTCCGTAGCGCGAGCACGACCAGCGCGTGGTCGGGCGTTAAGAGGAACAAAAAGTCAATCGACTCCTGGCCTTCTAATGGCTGCCCCAACGACACTTCCGACAGCGGCAGACCGACGCCACGGGCCCGAGACAAACCGAGGGAGGCCGCGGCCACCGCCAACTCGGCGGGGTGAGAACACGGACGAAACACGCAGTTGTCCGCCGGCGCCAGAGGCATCAAGTTTGCCTGCACCTGGAACCGTTTCAAGAACAAATCCAACAACGCACCCATCCGGCCTGTCCGGTGACTCGATAGAAAGACCATGTTCGCCGCGCAGGCAACGTTACTGTTCAAGAAACTGCTGTCCTTAACCGCGTCCTCCAATAACACCCGCCACCACGCACGGTAGTCCTGTACCGTCCCGCACCACTCGGCTCCGGACCCGGCGGCGGCTTCAACTCCCAGCCCACTTCCAGATCGAGCACCGGGCCCAGGTACTGCGCCAGCGCCAACGCCAGTTCCGGACACGTTTCCGGAAACATTTGCAGAAGCACCGTGTGCAGAAGTACCGTGCGCGGAAGCACCGTGTGCAGTAGACAGGTCGTTGTGGTACATGATGGGGAGTGAGCGGTCGTCTTCGTAGAATTTGTAGTAGGGCTTCAGTGGCGGGGCGGGTAAGCCGTGGTGGAGCGCGTCAAGTTGATACGAGGTCAAGGGTTCGAAGAGCAGCTCGTGGTCAACTGAGGTTTCGGTCCAGATCGTGATGCGCCCGTTGATGTCCAGTGAGGTCACGCAGGCGGGACAAAACACGTCATCGAAAGCAGGCCCCCGGTCCAGCCACGCACAACCCGTCAACGGTGCCGGGTGCGATAACTCGCACGCAGACACGTCCGTGACTTGAACCGGCGACTTGGAGAACTCGACGTGCTCCAATTCACTCTCCGACGACGACCAGCTAGACGTCAAATTCGACAACGCACTAGGCTCCGCAGACAACCGCTTCTGTACGCCCCCACTCGTCTGCTGACCCCGGTGCCGACGCCGCAACAAACTACGCAATCCAGACCGCAAACAACCATCTATGACAAAACACAGCTAGGGATCGGTGGCTGTGGGGCGGGGGGGGGAGGGGGATCGATCCGTGGAGTTGCGGCTTACAATGAGGATGGTGGTGTTTATTCAGGTTTTTGAGGGCTTCGTCTCTGACAATGCCGGTGTCTTTTTTGGCAAACTTGGAACTGCCGGAGGTGTTGAGGGGGTCGTCCTGGGTGCGCTGGGCCTCTTTGGTGTTCTCGGTTTCGACGCTGAGTTCGCCAGTGTGATACAGTATATGCAGTTTGCCGTAGATGTTCCCGAGCAGTTGTTCGGAGGATTGATCGGTTTGGATGCCGCAGGAGACGGCGAGGTAGCGGCCGGTGGGCTCGGGGTGTATCTCACGGACAGAGAGGCAGTTGGCGTCCAGGTCCACGTATTCGCCGGCGGTGGTCGGGAAATTGTCGGTGGCCAAGTCCGCGGCGTTCTGCCCACCAGCGCTCTGCCCCCCGGTGTGGGCGGTCCTGCGTTTCGAACCCAGGTTGTAAGCTGAGCTCATGACGCTCTTGACTTTCTTGGGCTGGTCGGTTTGCAGGAGGAGCAATAAGTTCCACTCGAAAACCGGCGAGGGCGAGTTCAGACCTTCAAAGACCTTCCACATGGACTTGGCATAGGAGTCCAGGATGGTCACGGCCGCGCGATGGCAGAAAGGGCGGCTGAGGAAGTTGGTCACGTCATTGTGCGTCAGGGCTTCCGCCTCGGCCAGCCGGTCCGCGAACGCACACGACCATACACGCAACACCGATGGCGGATTGCTCCGTTCGTCCTGCACAAAGGAACACAGACAATCTCCCAACCAACCCACGCCCGAAAGGGCCACGCTCGACTGAATCACCTCGCGACACTGCCACTTCCCCCCTGACGCGGGCCGACCACCACCACGACCTCCGCTACCAAGACCAAGACTTCCGCTACCAAGACCAAGACTTCCGCTACCAAGACCAAGACTTCCGCTACCAAGACCAAAACCGCTGCCAAGACCTCCGCTGCCAAGGCCGTTGCCACGGCCGCTGCTGCCGTTGATTGTTGACGCGGCGTTCTCCTCGTCGTAGTCGAAGACGAGTAAGAAGTTGTTGTACTGGACGGCGAGGGTGAGTGAGCTGCGGTGCCAGGCGAGAAGGGGTGTGGCGCTGTGGCAGACGAAGTCGAGTCGGTCCTGGCCCGCGAAACGGTTGAGGAGGACGGATGGCAAATCAATGGTTTGGAGACGGTGGCGGTGTTCGTAGACGTGGACCCAGGTGGCGTTGGGATCTGCGACGGCGAGGAGGTGGAAGAGCGGTGAGACGGCCGTTCGCGAGTGGAACTTGGAGTTGCCCTGTGTGGCGAAGGAGTAGGGGGAGAGGAGCGAGTAGAGAGGTGTGGGCGCGTTGGCCGACAGGTAGGACAGCACGCTGCTGCGACAGCGCACAAAGACTTTGCCCGCGCCAAAGAACGGATTTAGGTCGTCGGGGATCGTGAGGCAGCCGTTCCTCGGTAGATTGACGGAGAGTTTGACGGCTACATTTGTGTAGCCGGACATGTAGGCCAGTGGCAACACGTTGGGCTTCAGGGGGCGCGGGTTCTCGTCGAGCAATGCGCCGGCGAAGCTGTGGCCGTGCTGGTCATCTACACGGCTGTTCTCGAGGCGGCCGCCTTCTACGCGGCTGTTCTCAACGCGACTACCTTCCCGCGCTACAGCGAGATTCGCAGCCGCGACATCCAACGGCGCCTTGTGCAACGGCGAGTGCTGCGTCCAGTCTCCCTCATCCTCCCCCTCATCCTCCAGTCCCGAAGTCGACGGACTCCCGTCCTCCTCGTCGAAAATGTCCGATTGATCACCGTAATAAATTGGGTCACGGATCGATGGCAGCAAACGACCATCCCCCGGAAAGAACAACGCAGCCTGCTCCTCCTCCGGTCCCGACACCGGCGCCGGTACCACCGCACGCACCGCCGCTTCCTGCTCAAACTTCTCCAACTCCTTCCACACGTCGAATCGCTCCACACCCGACGTCGGTATCGGAATAGGCGCAAACGTTGTCTTTAGCGCAGCTGCCATTGGCCGGTTCATAAACCTACAGTCACCCTTACTCACCCCGACTCAAGTGGGTTGGCTCAAGTGGGCTCATTTCAGAGTTCGATCTGGCCAGATCTGTGTTAGGTGCTTACGGTCGTGCTCTTGTTCGGTTTACCAGTGCACTACAGAAATAGGGTGATCAGAAGACATCTCATACCAACCAACATACTCAGGGTCATTGTCGTCACTTGACTTTACCACTTCCAGATTATCCAGACTCCCAGCAACACTTCCCGACATTTAAAAATGAGTTCCCCGCGCCCCTCTTTTCTTATCAGTCCAGCCGGTAGCAACCACCAGAGCAACCTCTCTATCGGAGAGGAATCTCTATGATGACACAGCACTGCCGCGGTTGCCGTAAAACACCCCCAGCGCAGCAGCTGCTGAAAACAAATTTTTCGGACAACATCTGCGCTAAACTTCCACTAATGATTTTGACTAAACTTCAATCCAACGGGGTAGAGGAACCTGCGATGTATGCGTGTGAGCTAGATACGAGAAATAAGCAAAAGAGACGGAACAAAGGCCTTGACTTGAAACGAGATAAAGAGCTGTACGACAAGACGGTCGCCTGTTTCCACTCCGACAAACCCTACAGGAAATACCCAGGCTGCAGCCGGCGCTGTAGAAAGGAGAGAACCATTGACGACAAACTCAACAGAAAGAAACACCATAGGGAGCTCAAGCAACATGGCAGAAACCTTCTAAACGACTCGACTTAAATCAACGGCTCGCTAAAACCGGTAGATAAGGCTAATGGACTAAGCTCATAGACTGGGGCAAGTGGACTATTGCACCCTGAAACATTTCAAGCACAACATCTGTCGCCGCGACTATAGTGGGAGGACAAGTATAACGGCAGCCCGTTGTGTGCTGCATGGTCGGCGGGTAGCTCAGACTGTTGGTAGTCCGTCTTGGTAGTTCATGTTGCTGATACATCCTGCTTCACCTTTCTGATGTGGTAAAGTAAAGACCCATCTGGTGGAGTGAAGACCCATCGTAGTTCACCATCACAGGAACATGGGCTAAGTTCTCTTCGATTAAGAAAAGCTCGGAAGGACTGGTATGCACTGCTGATTCGTAATCGTTGGCTTTGTGCTCCATTTTGATTTTAACTGAAAAGGTTTGCAAAACTTGCGCGCCCGCGCGCAGACACACTAAAAAATGTCCCACCAGGGTTAGTCCCGCTTCCTGGTCTTGGATCTCCTCAATGGCACTTCCTCGTCTTGGATCTCCTCAATGGGATTAATATATGTACGATCTTCGCTATGGTTATAGCGGCAGAGAATAGGGCAACTTCCTCTGAACTTCGTCCATGACCTCCGTTAATTTTAGTAGGACGCTGAGCGGTTTGGCACTGTGGCCGTCTTTTGTGATGTCATTGTGTGCGTGGTTATCCTCCGTGCGTGGCCTTGTGCCACAACCTGATCTTGCGCGTTTCCGGAGTCTTGTGCCACAACTTGGTCTTGTGCCACAACCGTGCTTCATTCCGGATCCATAGCAACGTGCTTCATTCCGGATCCATAGCAACGATCGGCTCAGTGTCATACTTGGACAAAATCAAACCATCATTCCACCTTGGGTCCAACTGAACGTGTTTAAGCTTGTACATACGACCTCAAGTAATCCATTCAAGTGGTCTTCGGTGCGTTGGCAAGTGACGCATCTTAGTCATTCCTAGATGCAGCCCGTGTGGACTCTGGAAGTCGCACAACGTAACTGGCCGCAAGCTATGTGTCCTAGGCATTCTAACTGCGGTTACGACTCCAACACAATTAGTGCTGAACTATTTCTCTTGCAGCCCCTTGCATAGTCTCCCAATCCTGTCCTGGCATTCACCATAGGACGACCCTATAACAGCAATGTCGTCAACATACGGGAACGACCCCGTAGAAAATTCCTTGATAACTTGGACCCCATAAAAGGCTGTCATGGGTGGGCTTTTGGGTGCGAGTGGTAGTCGCCAAAAAGATTTGGCCAGGTCAACCTTGGCAAAATATCGACGTTGAGCGATCCGCTGCAATGTATCCTTAACTATTCCCAGCCAGGTGTGCACGAAATAATACCCTTTCGCAGCATGTCGTCCGGCGTCCTTTCTGCTTCTTCTCTCATGCCTGTAGGCTAGACATACGGTTTGGTGACGACAGGTCGCATTGTCAAATCCATAAGTTTCAGCTGGACGGCATCCACCGGCAGAAATGGTTCTGTGTCAATGATGGCAAGGCAACGAGATTGCCCTCGAGTGGGGAATGTCAATCGCGCGCCCCATTCTGCTGGCTGGGGCCTACCGACGAGGATCGTCTTGCGGAGCGCCAGTGTTTCAAGTCCATGCATAAACTCTTGCGCGTCATCCATAAGCTCTTGCGCGTCATTCATAAACTCTTGCGCGTCATCCATAAACTCTTGCGCGTCATCCATAAACTCTTGCGCGTCATCCATAAACTCTTGCGCGTCATCCATAAACTCTTGCGCGTCAGGCAAAGAAAATCTCTTGTCTCCATTGGTGGTCTCCCACAGATCCGATAAAGCAACGCAAACTGGCACAAAAGGCAACTCGCGATAACCAAGGCGCTTACATGCGATGTGGATAGTCTTTATGATACGCTTGATTCATGGTATGGTCGAGTTTGTTTCCATGGATATCGCGTTAACTTATGCACTCGTCTGTTCCAGCACTCGTCTGTTCCAGCACTCGTCTGTTCCAAAATCCGTTTCGGGTAACGAGTGAAGGCTAACGCCAGTGCTGATTGATTCTGAGATAGCGGTGTTTTTTGTTTTGGGAAGGCAGTCGCTGATGCCACTCCCGTGGTGCACGGTTACTGAGAGAACGAAGCGGTGGCCGAAGACTGCCCACGGCCGACGCAAGTGCGCGCGGACGCCACCTGAGTGGTTGGCAGCCGGACTAACAGGGGACATGTGACAAGTCGATGTTCGTAGCTGTCGCCACGATAAGTCAGGTGTGAGATCAAGTGATGCGCTGTTAATGTCTCTGATGCGGTGGTGATGCTATAGGTAATGTGTGCACACACTACGTGCATGACTACCACAGAGATTCCACATCAGCTCCTCCCAATTAGGGATTACGCACCCACCCAGGTATCTGATTTGTTACGCACCCACCCTATGTCGTGTGTACACCATTGCGTAACCGTAGCCGTAGACATTAGCCTCATTTTTGTGCTTCCACTGCGGTGAAGAAACATACGCGCCGCCACAACCTCACGACACAAGTTTCGATTTGTTTCCTGAAGAAAGCAGGTTCACCGACGACACGATAATAACGCTTGTCGCGGCCAGGTACAGGACAAGGAATACTCGCATGGTGGGAATGCTCGCATGATGGGCTGCATGCAGGAGGTGGTACTCGAAGGCACTTTTCTCGGTGGCTTTGGAGCCCCGATCCGCAGCTTCACAACAGTTGGGCTATGCGGGTGAGCCCGATAGAGCTTTATGCGGGTACGTTGGAAGAGGCGGTCGGGTTAGTGAGTTGGAGTTGAGTTGGAGTTGAGTCGGCTGAGGTCACTCACAATCATCCGGAAAGTATTTGTTCTCCCAAAGCCCAGAGCTACCAAGGAGAAGATTTCTGCTTGTTGTGTCGTCGGTCGTTTACTGCGCCGCATCGCTGCTGGGTATTCTGGACAGGGACCGCTTCAAGGAGCTTGTTTAGCCAGATCTGGTTAGTCCGAGGTTAGTAGGAGGCGAGGTATATCACCTGATAGTTGTGATGGTGGAGTTCTTTGACATTGTGTGTTGAAAATGCCGGCTGTGTGTGAAGGCCCCATGTGTCGGAACAGCATGCCGCAACCGGCTGCCGGGTTGGCACCGGTAACAGCGTTGGCGATGCCAGGTATTCAAATGAGTTACTGTTGGAGCGTCCCGAAGCAGTGCGAGTCGACGCGTTGCTAAAGTTATGCTTCCCTAATATGTTGAAGTACGCCCCCACTGATGTGGTTAGCAAGGAGGAGTTGAATGACCGGAAAAATCGGTGTGGTACTGTTGTCGGAGACGAGCGTTTGCCAGAAACGCATCGAGGCTCGCAGTCGGCGTTCATGAAGTCATAGAAGTGGTCCGTGTCTTGAAGTTTTGTGTGTCTTGCCACGTGATAGGTAAGGAGGACACCACATTGCTTGTGCAGCCGGTCGGTTTCGAGAACGGCGTTGAAAGTGGAGCTGTGCTGAGCTGCCGAAGAACTACAGCCCCACGTAAGCATGTGAGGACAATGAGCGAGCAGGACGATGAAGATCTATGTAAGGCGTCTGACGAACTTGCCGAGCCGTTGTCTGTCGTAGGCGTCCTTCTTATGTATGCGGGCGATCAGGACCTACCACACAACAAGGATGACCTGCGACTTCCGAGGGGGTGGAGCGAGCAGACTACAGTGACCAATATCGGAGAGACCGTCCATGCTATGTATGCAGTTATCGCTGCGCAAAAATAGTGCAAAAAAATTATAACTTTTGAGACATAACAGTAATTTTGTGTGCGAGATCATGAAGTGTCGCAGTGCGTCTCCGAGGATTTAGATTGTACCCATCTGGCCGGTACCGGTTTAAGAAGGGAGGAATATTTGAGGGGAAAATCAGTACCGCTATGAGGCACAAAGGAACGTCCGACTCCGACCTCGCATCCTGACAGACCAAAACCCCGATACCGAGCCCAGTGAGGTGGGTGACGCATCATTTATGGCGACGGCTACTGGATGCCGTCAGCGATGAGTTTGAGGGACGCGTGGGACACTAAGTTCCTCAAGCTGAACCCAAGTAGGTTCATGACAGCGCCCCCCAACAAGGATTCCTCCCCAGAAGCGGAGCAGAGGGCTTCCAAGCGGATAGTGGACAAGCTCTCCACATCCACTTTTGACCCACGAAACTCCCGCGAGTTTGAAGAGGGCATAACGAAGATGGCTCATGCCACTAAGAACGACTTATCAGCGGCCGCGCAGAGCACGTCATCCATGCTGTCAATGCAGCAGCCCTGACCACCCGTGCTTGTACTGCCCAGTAGTACGACCCGTGTGCGACAACTGCAATAGAAGTGGGCAGTGCACCAAAGCGTGCAGAACAGTCGTCCACAGGGACCCTCCAGGGCGAGTAATTGGGACCACCACGGTAGCCAGAAACGCGCTCAACTCGAGCACCCTAGTAGTGAATACCCTCACTGGTGCGCCGACCCAGGCAGCAGAGATGCTGACATCGGTAAACACCCACCACGAAGGCGTAAAGGCGAGGCAAAGAGCCGCCCACGCCGCAAAGAAGACCACCCCGCCGTCAGACACGGCGATGCATAACGAAAGGGCACAAGTCTCCTTTCAGTCCTAGCGAGGACGGGAACCTCGCGAAACATCATGCAAAAGTGCAGGTGGATGGGCACACTGTCGAAG